TTTCATTGATAATATCAGCCTTGGGCACTGGGCCAAAAAAAAAAAAAAAAAAAAAAAAAAAGGCGGCTTCTGCTTCGGGACCCCTTGTGGGCCCTACCGCAGAGGTGCAACAGCGGAAGACGGGAACGACGAAGAATGAATTCAATGAAGAGCAAAAAAAAAAAAAAAAAAAGAATTAAGCACGGAAGGGCGGAGAAGTGCACCAAGAAAAAGGGGAACTAAGTAGCGAAGGGGGAGGAGGAGGAGGAGGAGGAGGAGGGGAGGAGAAAGGGAGAAGGCACATATGCCGTTCGTGAGTATCCACTCACCTTTATTTATTTTTTTAATCGCCTACTGAAAGCCGAATGATCATGATTACAATTTAGAAACCTGAATAGGCAATTAGAAAACTTTTTTTTTTTTTAAGAAAACTAATTAGGCAGATAGATTATTCATTTGCCATGATGTGCCTTCCTTCGGATCAACACACTAATCAACTGATTCAATTAATTAATGAATTAATGAAATAATGAATTAATGAATTAATGAATTAATGAATGAACTAATTAAGGGTTCTAATCGAGGGAAGGGAATAGGAGAAGGTAGTACTATATGATGGAGGTGCAGAAAGGTCGTCGGAGCAATACTTTTTTTTTTTTTTTTTTTTTTTTAATTTGCACACGTCATCCTTAGACGGCAGCTGCGCTGATATTCTCTGCATGGTCACTAGTTTGTCACCAACCCAAAGACGAAATACCACCAAAAAAATCAGCGCACTTAAAAAGAGGGGAAAAAAAAAAAAAAAAAAGCGGGGAAAAAAAAACTAGCAGCTAGTAAGACCCCTAAACCCCCTAAACCCCCTAAAAACCCTAAGCCCAAAACTCTTTTCGTGCAAAATTCACGCCGCCATCAACTGGGTTGATTTGTTCGCCTTCCACGCTCTATATTCTAATGCAACCAGTCTCAAGAAAAAAATAAAATAAAATCCTACCCACTTGCCACAGAAAAGAAACCTTTACGGTGAGGGGGAAAAAAAAAAAAAAACCATTTCCTTTGTTCAGGGCATTACCCAGGTAGACCCGAAGGGGTGCATTCCAATGCAGCCCG